TTCAACAAGCGGGCCTGACCTAGGGTGAGTTTTAAATAGGGATAATTTTTAACGATTTTAAAGAGCCACAGCTACCAATATTTGGGTTTTAATTGGTTTTTAGTAGGGGAAATTTTTTGTATGATGTTTTAATATGCTGTGAGCCGCCCTGAGTCCCATGGGGAGAAGGGCGGCATATAAATCCTGTTAAATAAATAAATAAATAAATAAATAAATACCTCAGGGGGTCATTATATCCAGTAAGAAACAACATGGAACAGTGGAAGAGACTCATGTAGCTCCTCTTAACCACAACTGTCTTCCTAACTTGGATTCAGAGACCTAGAGCAGAGTCTAACCCAGGGGTCTTCAAACTTGGCAACTTTAAGACTTGTGGACTTTAACTCCCAGAATTCCTCAGCCAGGCTGGCTGAGGAATTCTGGGAGTTGAAGTCCACAAGTCTTAAAGTTGCCAAATTTGAAGACCCCTGGTCTAACTTCTTGGGAACAGTGCGTTCTCCTCCTTTACTAAGCAGCTTTTTTGGATCTTGAACTATCAAACATTGATCAGCTTTCTGTAAATCATTCTTGCAATTTAATGTAAGCAAACAGAGCAAACTAAGAGTAAAGAAACATGAATTTATCTGAGCAATATATGACCCTCCAGGTGGCACCTAATATCCATCACCTGTAGCCATCATGACAAAGCAATGGGAATGGCAGTCCTACCACTTCCAGTGCGTGTCCTGCTGTCAAGTCCTGCCTTAGGAACCGTAGTGCAGACTACAGACTACAAGAATGTGGTTTTCCAAGGTCAATCAATATCTGATCTGAGAGGCTGGCTTGAATTCATACCTCTTTGTTCCCAGCTCAGTCTCTTAACGGTTTTTTCAAAATCGTCTCTGGGAGGTTGAGGGAAAGAAATGCACAATATAAAGCACAACTTCAACTTTTCCTCTCTTCTTCTCCAATATATTATATGGTTAAAGGAAAACACCAAATAAAATAAGGTCACTCCAAGCATTTACTTCATTAGAAGCAAATGTATAATATGTTGTAGGGAAGGAATGAGCTAGCTGGTTGATTAGTATCTGATTTTCTTGTTAATGTTTCTTTTGATATTTTGTAAATATACAGTATGAATATAGACAGATGTCTAAAGACTAACTCCACATTTCTTTTCCTATCCCCTTTTCTGCTTTTTTATAAACTGAATCATAGAATTGCAGAGTTGGAAGGGATCAACCTCTGAAATGTGCAGAAAAATCCATTAACCCATCCAGGAGAGGTATCTGTCCATCCTCGCCTTAAAAATTTCCAGAGATACAGAACACACAACTTCCATAAGTAGATTGTTGCATTGTTGTTCAGATCTTAGCATCAAAAAGTTTTTATTTATATCTAATTTCTGTATCATGAAAAATAAGTTTTGGACATCTATATTGTAGCTTCCTTTTATATACCTGAACACTACAATCACTTCTCCCATCAATCTTTTTTCAAAAGTGAATATTCCAAATTCTTTCAGCTTTCCCTTATACGGCACATCTTCAAGTTTCTATATCATTTATGCTGGTTTCCTCTGAACATCTCTAAAATGTTAATATCTTTCTGGTAATGTAATGCCCAGAATCCATTACAGGACTCCAAGTGGGATCTCACCAATGCCAAGTAAGGAGAAATCATAACTTCATCAAGTGATGAAAAATACTGGGGAATCTCAAAAACTTGCATATTCTTTTCAGACAATATTTAAACCTATTAAAGTGGTGTCCAGGAGTGGACACCAAAATATATCTACTTTTGCACAATTCACTTGTATTATCAATTCCTAGAATCTGAATTCAACATCTAATGTAGAATTCTGTGATAGAATACATCCTTTGCATGCAGAAGTACCCGAATTCTATCCTTGTTATCCAAGCAAAGAAAAATGTTTGCTAAAAGTGAGACATTGCCAAAAAAAAGTAGGTGGTTTAATTGATATATGATGTAGCTGTGCATAAAGTACCCTTCCATATTCCAATATATGTTGCAAAAACTCTTGATTCAATCACAGCAGGAGTGGGCAATTAATTTTCCCAAGGGGCCACATGAGAAATTGGGACTGTTGTGGAAGCCAACCAATATAACCTGATTTGATGTCCTCAAACTCTCTTACTAACTCAACTCTTCAGGCTGCTCCAGTGAGGGGTGAGTGTTGCACAGGCACAGAAAAATGCTCTCTTTGGCCTCCCGTGGCTGTCAGCTGGTTGAAACATTGCATGGCGGCTGCACAGTGCCGGACCCAACTTGGCTTCTTCTCCTGACCCCTGACACATGCTTATTTGTATTTGCATTTGATTTCCAATTTCCAATTGATGTGAGCCAGACAGGGACAGGCAAAGGACTACTAGATATGGCCCAGGGGGCCATAAATCTCCAGTTCTGCATCAGGATGTTGGTTGAACAGCATTGGAGATTTGTTCTTTCAAACTTGCAAAATTCTGTTGAAGTAGTCTTACAATAAAGTACTATCAGCACAACTGATCATGTTTCCTGTCTGGTCTGCCCAGGAAGGTTGAAATTAACCTTGCAATTCTGAAAGTACCAGCACGGATTAGGCGGAGACCATTAAGAACATTATGCGATAGAAATGAACCCAAATGGACTTTTGTGCTCTTTCCCAACATCATTCTGCTTGGAGACAGGATAAGCAACATTATAAATATAGATTGGTTCACGTGTCCAATTAGAAGGACCATTTCCTGTCTGCTTTGGAATAACCTTG